CGGTTTTCCCCCCCCCCCCCCCCTTACAGAATGAGCAGTGAAATTCTGTTTGGTCCAGGGGATTGTTGTAATTCAAAATGATTCCTGCAAAGTGCTGTGAGTTACAGTGGGGAGCTGCATTTCTGTCTGCACCCTTTTTTCTTCTTTCAGTGTTCCTACTTCACCTTGGTTCTGTAATTGCATTGCTCTACTATTTGGGGATTCTTTAAAAGTTCCTAATTTATGTAGTTTGCCTTGGTAGGAAATAGGACTGTCAGATTCTACCCTTTTCTGTTAGTTTCTACCCTTTTCAGGTATCCATTTGGTTTGATTAATTGAGGATTATTATTTTTTTAAAAGCTGACAGCTTGTGCTTTTCAAGCATGGCTAACTTGTTTCACACTTATCAGGTCGAGAAGTTCACAGGAGAAAATTCACGCCTCCATATATTGCCTCTTGTAATAAACTTCCTATGTGTGTGTACCACATTAGTTGTGGTAGTTTTGGAGTGATGTTAATGATAACATCTTTTTATCGTGCTCTTATTTACCTATAGCTTTGCATAGGCCTTTGTTTTATCTGCTGTTTAGCTCAATCAGTTTCTGCTTTTTTCTCAGACTTCAGGAAGGGTACTTGGTACCTGACAGCTTGTCTGTATCCCTCCCAAGTATACATTTGGTCCAATAAAAGATATCACTCACAAAAATCCTTGCCACTTACCCATTAATTGCACACTTTTGTTCTAATGTATGTGATAAAGAGGGAGTTCACATGGTCTCAAAGAAGAACAAGTTTTATTTCAAATTAATAAATAATGTTTTTAAGGTGATGGGCATTTTAATATTAGCCTCAAGGCCAGATCTCCATTGGCAAAAGATCCATATTAAAGCTCAGCTGTTTTATTTTAAAGTGAATGTGAACTCAAGTAATCCATTTTAGAGGCCAACCATGCTTCCATTCAAGTAAAGCTTCACTTTAATTGGAGAAGTATAAGGCCCTAAGGCCTTAAAAGCCACTAAATAGTGCTAGTACAGTACAGGCAGTCCTTGGACTTATGACACAATTGGTTCCTGAAAACCGTTTCTTAAGTCTAAATGTTGTAACTCGGAACCAATTTTCTCATAAGAAATAATGTTATAAATGAGGGATTGGTTCCTGAACCAAGGCCTGATACCCTATTTTCACTAAAAATACCCCAGAATTTTGTACTTGATCAATTATAGATGAGTAATATAGCTACATTAATGTATTTATATTGTAAATAGCAATCATATTGATTTGGAAGGACTTCTTTGAGGTGACTTTGCTGGACTTTTTGAAGAGTTCTTGGCTGGAGGCTTCTTGGGAATCTTGGCTGCAGGTTTTTCTGGAGTCTTGTCTGCTTTCTTAAAGAAAGTATCTAAGGAAGTTTGGACAGATGTTCTCCAGGGAGATGAGTGACACAGTGAACTTGTTTGCTGGAGTGGCGTTGTATCAGATCAAGCATTGTAACGTTGAAACTGACGTCATAAAGTTGAAGTAGGGTGTTAATTTATAAGCATTGTAACTGCGAAACATAAATGGCGGACTTCCTGTACAATTATATTATGGCACTTTACTTCTTGTAGTGAGTAGTCAAATGAAACTTTATAATGGATAGGTAAAGTATAGAAGTGTAGAAAAGTAGGTCTTGAAGCAACCTTGGGAGTTCATTTAGTGCCCCCCCCCCCTTATTCAAGGCAGGATCATCCCTATCTAAACCATTCTGGACAAGTTTTTGTTTAACCTGTTCTTAAACATTTTGCAAACAACCCTGTCACACAACTAGCAGGCACAATGCCTGAAACATAAAAAACTTCCTAACTTGCCACAAGAAAAGCGGCACGGGTGATGGGGTAGGGGTGGTGGTAAGGGTAGAATAAACTTCTTATTTTTCCAAAGTGTTGGTTTGATGGCAATCTGTTAACAGTAGGGAAGAAGTTAAATGGCACTTTGAACTTTTGTGATCACCTTTCTTTTTATGGTGTCATATTTAATGTACACCTTATTTTAATACTTAAATTTGTTATTTATATTATTACAATGTCTAGGAACCCTCATCGTGGGCCAGGATCTCATTATGTCACACATGATACTAACACAGAAAGAGAAAGATGATCCTTGTCACTGACAGCTTACATTCTGAAGATAAGTTAAGGAAGCACATAGAAGCAGACAAAAGGGGGAGTACAAGGAAACAATGAAATGATAATGGTCAGCATGACAGGCAGTGGTCTTGACAACTGATTGGCTTCTGGTATGCTGCAGAGGAATTGCAGAAAAGAATAGTTTTAAATAGGGATTTGAAGGAAAATAACAAAGTAGTTTTGCAGATGGTTACAGGGAGTTATTTTAAAGTGTTAAGGACCAGAGGTTGATGGTACTTCAGCATGAAGGGGACCCTTTAAAATTTTTGAAAAAGTGGGTGGTAGATGCAGGCATACTGGGCTAATTTGAGGCAGGAGTCCTCTTCTATATACTAAATGAGACATTTATAAGTATGGTAAGGAAGGGGTGGGAAAGTAAGAGCAGGTCACTTACATTTGATGCGATTAAAAGGGGGAGCTGACAGATGTAGAGAGGGGAATGACATGATCGAAGTGACAGGCTGGAAGAATAAGCTTTCCAGCAGCCTTCTCACTAGATGAGAGAAGGGAGAAATTGCAGTTGTCATTCTTGTCAAATTAACTTTGAATATGTTAGCAAAAGTCTACATTGGGCTTTAATTTGCCAATTTTAAGTCAATAGGGCTGGTTTTTAATGGGATTTAGAGGACATATCAAAGTGATGTGATCCAGTTTGTCCCTGAGTTCAATTTGCCTCAGGCAGGTGAACATAGTGGAGAAGAATTCCAGAGAGCAATTTACAGTTTCCTGATGCCATCATCAGGGTAGAATTTATGTCAGCATCAGCATGACTTAGAACAACTTTGGAACTGTTCTAATTTACTTTATTGGCATATGGTGCTTAAGACAAGTCAGTGGGATCACTTAAGCAAGTAAATTCTCTCTAATGGGAGTAAAGGGTTCTCAGTCAGTCCAAGAGAGATTCTCAAGGATGTTTAGGCGCGTTTAACTCCTGTCAAAATAATTTCAATGGGAATTAGGCCCTTAAGCAGAAGTTAGGCACCTAAACACCTTTGAAAATCAGATTCTAAATGATTTGCCTAAAGCCACTGATTTGAGACTGTAGCAGAATCAGGAAAAAGTCCCCCAAATTTTGAAATTATTCCCTACCCTTTTTGCTATAGTGCCTCTTGTGAGAAGATTCTCAGTGGCCAGATGAAAATAATATAGATTATCCTCTTACTGGAGGGTAATAGATGCTCCAGTAGAGGGTGAAAAGAGAGATTTCACTTTTATGTATCTTTCTATTAATATTTATGCATTCTGTTTTATGTAGGTGAAGGAGCTGTTCAAATCCATGAAAGTTCCCTACTTTTCACTTGAACTAGACCAAACTGGTAAGGCTTTTTTTATTTCCATTTGAGTTGCTTGTATGCAAAGAAAAGCTAGTGACAAGCTGTAAATAACTCAGTCTTTCTTAATATTTCCTGTGATTTACTTCCTCCTTGTCTGCTTCTAAGGCCAGTCTTATCTGTCAGTTATGGTAAAGAGATGTTCTTGTGAAATCTGTGAATTGTTTCGTTTCTTCCTGAGAACTGTAGAGTTACCTTTGTCTAGCAAATTAAAACTACAGTACCAAATGGTATCCAGATGGTTACTTTTATTTGTCATGTTTCAATTAGACCAAATTTAGACTGTATTAGATTTCCTGACTTGTTTGTTCCAGGCTCAGTCTTTGATTGTGCCAAGAGACAAATATGACTCTAAGTTACCTTTATACTTCCTGTGATCCAGGGGGAGTCAAAAGTTAAATTGGCCCTTGGCACAGGTTAGAGTAGCCACGGGGATACACTAATTTAAGTTGTTTTAAGCAACAATGACCAGGGATCAGTAGCTGTATTGTGACCCCATTCAATCCAGCCTTGACCTGCATCCCCTGAAATGTCTTGGGTGCAAGAACCAGTGATATAAACCCAAAAAACCTGCCTGTTTTGGCCTTTTTGAGGCCACTTTACTTTGCTCCAGCAGAACAAAATGACATTAACGGGGTCAAAGATGTGGCATTCTGATTCATCAAGTCATCCATGTCTCTGAATTTGGCCCATTGACCGTTTTATGGGCATGTGTGTGTTGTGTCATCTTTGGGAACATGGCATTTAGCCAGAATCCGTAATGAATTGAATTGAATTGAATTGGCCCATTGACCCCAAATCTCTTGGAGTCTGAGATGATACAACTGGTATCACCAAGAAACCAAAAGATTGGTGTAAAGGAAGTAGCATAAGCACACAATTGTTATAGCGTGAGGTGTTTGTTCTTAAAGTCCTCATGGCAGTTACTTTTCCAATCAAATTATTTTATCAAAAATCTTGCTGAAGCAAGGTTATCTTTTGTTGACATTGACTTAATGGGTGATTGCACTTACTGCCTTGTGATATGCAGATTCCTAGCTAGGTCAGCAAAGACCTTTGCCCTGAAATGCAGTTCTTAGAGCTGGGCAATGCATATCTTAAGGATATATGCCTACTACACTTGTGCCTTCTCTCCAATAGGTACTTGGAAATCTTTCTCCACATGGGCACTCCATTTGAGAATAAAAGCAACTCAATTCTGAAATAATTACTTTGCCTACCAGACGTGTAGGTGGTAGAGTTTGTGCCCTGATTAGGAATTCGCTTCTCAGTCTCACCCCACCTCACTTGCTGCTGGAAGGAGGTGTCAGCACAGCTGGCAGCAATTTAAAACCCTGAATTCAGCAGCAAAATAACAGCTGTTGGGGCAGGTGAGGAGGTTAACTTCCTAGATGCTGGCCTCCTTGAGTTCTTCCCCCATAGCGACAGTGTCTTCAATGGCAGGGGGTGAGGTCCTCACTCTCCTGCATCTGAAGCTGGGTGCCCCACTGTCTCCATTCCAGCATTTCTGAGATGTGGCCTTAGTGTAAATGAGAATCAGGACTTCAGCATGTTAGGACCTGAACGTACAAGGAAGCTCCCACAAAATAAGCTAAGGTTTGTGGTTTTAAATCACAAAAGCTCTTTCACACCAACCTCCTTCTTCAGTGTTCTTATTCCATATTAGGTGTGCCTTTTTTGCAGTTCAGCTGATTCCAGTTTCAAAATGGACTACAGCATACAAAGGCATAGTGCAGAATAAGAGTGTCCCTACAGGAGCCTGCTATGGAAAAGCAATTCCAAGCAATTTCCCTGGGTAGATGAGCCCTTTTTCCCTTTTACTGTTCATTTTGCATTTTAATTTGATTTTAAATAATACCATAGGTAGTTTGGTACTTTTAATAAAGTCAGATACTACCTGGTTCCCTGTGGAGGGGTGTGGGGTATGGGGCCAGTTCCTTGTATGAACTTACCTTTTGCTTCCCTTAGCAGAAACAGCCTCTGTCTACCCTGTGGTAGCTCAGAAGTTGCAATGGGGCTTGGGCTCCATCCCTTATCTGCTGGGCCCAGAAGATTTGTCCAGAAATACAGGACCAACAGCACATGCTGCATCCGTTTTAAAGGGGAGCAAACTGCTTCACTTGCTCTAGGAGCACCAGGAGGAATTTGGGTGGAATGAATTGCTGCATGGTTCCCTCTTTACTCACCCAGGACAAGGTCATGTTTTTAAGGCCATAACCTGTCCCACAGTGATGTTAACATGAACATATGTTTAGTGATTGGTGGTAGAGGAAAAGCAGTTTCAGATTTTCCTTAATATTAATTAGAGGTTGCCACATGCAACTTAACCTTTTGTCCCAATAAGCTTTTCTTGGAATTTCTAAACTGTTCTGGACTACATCTTTAGTTGGTGGGTGTATTAATATGATTTCATTGAAGTTGCACTGATTCTTACCAGCTGTGAACATTGTCTCAAATGACATCTGTTTCAGAAAAGGATCCAAATCTACATGTTAGATTCAAGGTCCATTTATAGGTATTGCCCTGAAAGGGTCTGTTAATCTTTGTGGAAAAAAATATTGATTCACAAACTGTGGGCTGTTGTAATTACCGTTAATGAAAGAGATTGTACCGAGCATTTGCAAGAGCTAACATGTACAGAACTACTTTTTTGCTTTGTCATTCTGTCTCTGGCAGATTGCCCAGTGCAGCAAGGGAGAGGCTTCTGACATTCATGACCCGCACACACAACTCTTTAAATTTCTGCCAGCTTTTATGGCTGCCCTGGGGTTTTTGGGCTATGGTTAAGGCTATGAATTTATGACAAAGATCTACTGGTAGTTATCTGAGGTAACTAGAGTATTTATACAAGATCTGTCTTGACCAGCCAATAGGTCTTTGTCAAATTTAAGAGCATAGTTTTAGGTGAGCATTCTTGAGGTTGTTTAAAAGGAATGGGATGGGAAGATTCATGTGTTTTAGGTGTCCACAGAAGGCTGAGGTTTTTTGGTAGTGCATTGGGGAAAATGTTCTGTCTCGTACAAATTATAGTTAGTGTTCAAAATCTGTGTCCTCACTTTCCAAAGATATGTATTGGTTCCTACTCTTCTTTTTCCCCATATTAAAATATGTTAAGACTTCAATTCTAGGCAATTATTAAGTATCAATATTTGTAATGAGTTTTCATCTTCAGAGCACTTTACCATTATTAAACACTTATTTTTCAAAAAAAAAAACCCTTGAGGTAAGTGTTACCAGTTGGTTACAGAGCAGAAAACTGAAGTAGCAAGGTTGAGGCCTAGTTTACAGTAAGCCTACCCTTTTGTATTTGTGTGTACAGGTGTGTTTCTACTACCGGGGTGGGCAAAATGCAGCCCGGGGCCCGGATGTGGCCCGCCAGGCCATTCTATCGAGCCCGTGGGGCTCCTAAATATTTAGAAAATGAATATTAATCTGCCCTGGGCTGCCTGTTATGTGGCCCTCAATGGCTTGCCGAAACTCAGTAAGCGGCCCTCTGCCCAAAATAATTGCCTGCCCCTGTTTTACTGTCTGGGCTCTTGACCTGATGTATGTGCACAGACTAATGATAAGTGTTTTCCTAGCCCTCTGCATGTGAATATTAGAGTTTGCACTTCATATTAAACATTAAATAAGCATAGTATTTGTCCAATTGAATAGTACGCTCCTCTTCCTAATGAAAATTGAGGTCTATGTAGGTTAGTCAAGGTTACAGGAAAAGTCAGTAAGAACTTGTAATAGGACACAAAAAGTGACAGACTCCCAGTTGTGCATGCAGACCTTGATTTTTTTTTTTTTTTTCCTTTCAGTGCTGTGCCAAGTCATAAATCTCTATGATTAGAAAATACAATTGTCTATTTGTGTTAATGTGTTATACAGAGCTTTTCTGTGGGCAGATTTTTCACAATGATGCATGACAACTTTTGCCCAGTCTTCTGAAAAAATGCTCCCCAAAACTGACTTTCATCCTATGAAATTTTCTTTCTTTCCAGTAGGAAACTGAATCACAGGATAACACGTAGCCCTTCATAGTAGAAATGGTTTCTGAATTTGAACTTACGTGAAGCAAACAGTGCCTGTAACATCAATAAATTAAATTGAAGGAAAAGTTTTGAGGGAAGCAATTAAAAGAGAATGACACAAAACTTTGAATGCAGGAGGCAAGAGTTTTTGTGGACAGTATCTTTTATTAGACCAGGTGCATGGTTGGCATAGGTTAGACAAGTTTTTAGGTATAGCAAGGAAGGGTACTCTGATGCCCAAGAACTTGTCTAAATTTATCCCAACCATGCAGTTGGTCCAATAAAGATGTCGCCCACAAACTCTTACTTCTCACGTATTTCCTGGACCATCACACTTACAACATTGCTTCAATACTAACAACATTTTAAAGAAGTTTTCATCAAATGTTAGCATGAAAAACTACTAGTGAGAGGGCTTTTTCTGTTATGCTGAGGCAAAAAGGTAAATAGTCATATTTTTCCTTTAAAACTGAAGGTTAAAAGTTTAATCACAGAATATCTAATTTCCTTGCGTTTTCCCAAATATAGTGGTACTCTGGCAGGGGGTACTGAAATTCTAGCTGATCGCTTTATAGGATTTCCTCAAAAACAGAAATAAAGCAAGTCATCCTAACTTTGCAAATGACTCATCATTTGCCCTGGGAAACATTCCCTTGAAACAGGCATGCAGTTCATGAGGAAGTAGACTACAATTCTTGTGAAACAGAAGGCCACACCTCTAAGTGATTTCAGTTCACAGTGGCAGCCTTCATAAAGGAAGACATCACAGACTCTTTCATACTTCATATTACAGAGAATGGACAGAAGCTGCAAGAAGCACTGTATCAACTGACCTTGGAAACTTCAGTACCAGTTGTATTTGTGCAACAACAGCAAATAGGAGACTATAGCAAAACTTTAAAGGTAGGCAAAAATACCTTTGGGTTTGTTTTTTTTTTTCATTTGAAAATATTTTTGATATAGATGCAGACTTTCTTTTAACATTAAGTAGCTCAGGAGGGATGTATCTTAACCTGGGGTCACAGTCAGGTTTTACAGATGGTAAACATGCATCCAATATTGCTAGATGGGGAACAGCTTCAAGTATATCAGGGTGGGCTTTAGGGACAGAGCGGTGGCAAAGAAACACTTTGTGGACACTAATCAGAAAAGAATGATCCAATACTCTTAAAACATTTTCATGAAATGCTTTCTCCATTAGCTTCTCTGAAACTATCACGAGTTTGAGAACCTTTTTAATGTATATGATGCAAAAAACATTATTCTTAAAGAAAAAATAATAGCATGGCTTACACAAAATGGTCTCAAAACTTTCCCCAAAGTACGTAGTAGAACAGGGGTGGTCAATTATTTTGGCTGGTGAGTCACTTAATGAGTAAATTGAGGACTGCATGCACAAATCTTTCAGAAGACATCATTTTAACAAATTATAAATAAAAAAATTATATACTAATGATCAAACTTCTACGACAATACATTTTATTTTTATTTCAAAAGAATATTTTTGTCCGGATTTGTTTTCTTGAGTGGTATATTTAGAGGCAATTGCATAATAGCTAGAAATAAAGTCTTACTCTTATATATTGGGTGTGTGGGGGAGTTGGGTGTGCAATGTAGGTGGGTGTGTGTGGGGGAGATGGGTGGGGAGGCTCTGTGTGTGTGTGTGTGTGTGTGTGTGTGTGTGTGTGTAAAAGAGGGGCATGTGTGTGGAGGGGCTGCCTGTGCACTAGATCCTGGGAGCCAACCTAGTGTGATGGGAGAGGAGTGGGGGGCAG